ATTAGGGTCATGCAGAGTGAGATGAGATCGCTGTCCCTTTAAGAGATAGAAAGAGGGGTGTGGCTTGTGGATGGTAGAGCGACAGTTAGAGAACCTATGGAGCGAACGTGTGTATGTTTCTGGTAGAGTGAAACGAGGAAGCAGAAAAACAGAGGTCTTTGATGTATTTTGTGAAAACAGAAGAACAGCTAAATAAATGCAACGGCCTCCCAAGAAGAGCTCGCCTCTCTCCAGTCATTTAAGCTAAAGTGGGTTATTGAACCTGAAGCTTGTTGCTTCTGCCCTCCTCGACTACGGTCTGGGAGCCGACAGGAAAGTTCAACACACAGATGGCCAGTCCGCCCCTTTGTAGCATATTATTTGGATGAAAGATGAGCAGATCGCCACTGGGCTTTCAACTAAATACACAGCCACGCAAAAACTGCGGCATTTGTACAGCTCCTTATGGGTACTGCAATTAGCGAAGTGCTTTCCTCCGTGGTGAAACGATCAGCACCGCACCACTGAGGAAAGCGGCAGAAAGTCACCTGGAGATAAAGAGAGCGGAGCTGCGTTGCGTGCATGGCTTCCTTCTGCAGGTAAAGGGGAGACGCGCTCTGGCGGCGGTCTCGTTCAGGATCCGAAAATACAATTTAAATATTTTGCACACTTATTCCACTTATTCCTAGTGTGCCACTGGTTACGGTGCCGCGTGCCAATGCTGGCACGCGTGCCAGGGGTTGCCGACCCCTGGTCTAAAAGCATACTTTTCCACTCCATGTGGGAGTGCAAAGAGATTGCAACTTTCTGGTGCGAGATCTCACAAATAATTCACAAAATGCTAGATGTACCTCTTGATCCTAAATGGTTTATTTTGGGACTTTACCCCTCCACCCCAGTCATAACAAAGAATACAAATAATCTCATAAACATGTGTTTACTCCAAGCAAAACGCTCGATTGCCTTGTCATGGAAGCACACTCAGAGGCCACAGGTGAGCCAATGGCTGAGGGAAATTAGTAATTGCTGTTCTATGGAGAAGATAACGTATATTCTGAAAAGGAAAAATGAAACCTTTGATAAGGTTTGGGGCCCCTTTACTCAACTGTTCTTAGAAATAACAATGGGAATCCATGAGGGCGATCTGGTTGAATGGAAAAGTAAAGGCGGAGGCGTGTGGTGTAGTGGGTTGTGCGTTGGTGTTTCGGATCAGGGGGTCACAGGTTCAAACCCCACTGCACTCAGCATATCGTTGTGTCCCTGGGCAAGATACTAAACTCCAAATTGCCCCTGTGGGGATTGCCCACAGAATTGAGTATGTAAGTCGCTTTGGATAAAGCGTCTTACAAGTGACCTGTAAAGTACTGCTGTGACTATGTACACTTTTTAGGATAATGTTGCTACTGCCCAATTGTTTTTGTTTTTATGTTTTATTTCATTTCATCATGTCTTTTATTTTTATTATATATTTCTATTTTATTTTATTTTTGTAAGGATGGCCTGTCTTGTCTTTGCCTATGTTTTTCAAAATTATTTGTTTTATTTGTATTTGTTGTTGTTGTTGTAAGTATATCTTGTTGTTTGAAAGAATGAAAATTAATAAACATATCGTTTGAAAAAAAAAAAAGGCGTAAAGGTCAGATATTGAAACAAACCCGGAAAAGGTGACTTCGTTTTTAGGCAGTCTGGGAAATGAAGTTCTAGCACGTCCTTGCAGCGTTTTGCAATAGGACCAATTCCAACTACATTTCCCATGGCTCTTTGCGCTGCTAGGGTTACAATCAATCTGCTCTCCACTCGGTCTCCTTATTCCATGGTGGCGAGAAATGTGATCCTTGAACGAGTCATAGCTCAGGCACATTTGCATGGCCCTCAGGAGGATTAAGGGTACAGTTTGGTGTTGACTTTAACACGTAAGTGTAGACTTTTCTATGTCCTCTACTTTAGCATGTTATACTTATATAGTGACAACTTGTGTTCCTCCCGTGATGGTTAGCAGTGCAGCTAGCTACCTGCTAACTAGCTAACGTTGGGCGTCAGGAGCCAAAGTTGGCATCTGTTTAGAGTCTGGCCTCAACAGGGCCGCATGCTAGTCCGTGTCTACAGAAGAAACCCTGTCTGCATTAGTTATAAAAGACTCTCTACATCGCCTCCCGCTAAAAAGGGCCCTGGCAATCTAGGAAGTAAAACGTGCCTCCTCCTGTCCTCCAGACAACACTGGCCAATGTCAACCAGCCTAAGATAGCTCTCTCTGTAAAGCTAACATTCATTTAGGAAGGGACATCCGGTCGGAACTTCGAAAATTGTCCCGGACAAATTCCTACTGCCTTTTCCCCCTAATGTCTATTTCAGTACTTTTATTGTGAAGATATATCTAAGCACTTCCGGTCATATTGTGAGAAACTTTTCCTAGCTCGAAGTTTGGCTAATGTTAGCGGCTTCTAGTTGTAAGCAGAAGTTTAGTTGCGTAGTAAACCTTACCTTGTATAGTAACAGACTGGGTAGGCCAGTGCTTACATTTAAGCAGTATTTGAGTTAGTGCTAGGTCTGTTTGATCAACATTCTGGGTCTTTGTGCCTGAAACTCAGCAAATCGTTTATTTGCTTCAGGTGCTGCATTTGTGGTTGTGCAATCCTAACACAGGTATGTTCTGGAACTCTAATCCTCCATTAAACCCGTGTAATCACTTAAAGCAACGACATGACGTCATAGAATAGCAGGAAGAAATGTAGGGCATGGCTGGTTCTTGTCTAAATATTACAGTTGTGTTGGTTGTTACAGGGCTATTTGTCATAATATATATTCAGCCAAAAGCCAACTTTACTATGGAATATAAACTAATGCAAAGTATAAAGCCAGTCCATGAGGTCACACAATGTCCAGTGTCCACATAATATACAAATGTATTTTAAGGCTGATGATGACAATGATGTGCATATTCTAGCACAAATCAAAAATGGATCTCCTTGAGGTTATCCATGAAGGGAAGATCACTGTTAGGAGTTAAATAAAAACAAAATGGTGCATTTCAATTCCATTTATTGCAGCCACATTAATGTACAATTTCGGGACAAAAACTGAAAAATAGTTATGAGTATGTCATACTCATCATGGTCTTGTTTCACTTTAATCAGAGTGAATAAGGAAGGCTAGTAGAGCTTAAACAATTAGTCTGTTAGCAGAAAGTCCATGTTGACCAAATCAATTTTAACATGTTACCTTAGCTTCATTGAATTTTTGATGGACATTTTCTATTGTTCCTCCATTTTACAAACTAAATGAGAAACTGATTACTCAATCCAATAATTGGGAGAATTGTTTGTTGCCGCACTAAACAAGAATTTAATCATTGAAATATGTCACTGCCTAGAAGTGGAGTTAACCGTTTGCTTTTGGTCTCATCCTATAGTCTGTTGTCACATCCCAGCAGCAGAGAGGACAGCATGATAATGCAGCGCCTTCTCGCTCGTGGTACACTGCGTTGGTTGGCAGCATCACGCCACTTCCTGCTTGGCGGCCCCGCGCATCAGACACCAGCAGCACCTTGTTGCTGTGTCCTCCGCCTGTCACTGCCCCCCCCCACAGGCCGCTGCTGGCTGTCCACCTCAGCCACCAGCCATGCAGCACATCAGCCCAAACACCAAGAGGAGCCCCAGGCCAGCTCCACCCCTCAGACACAGGAAGCTGCTCCTGAGGCTGTGGACCTGGACCCCCTGCAGGACAAGTCCATTGGTCTGGTGCAGAGGTTTAAGAAGACTTTCAAACAGTACGGGAAGGTGATGATCCCTGTGCATCTCCTCACCTCCTCCGTCTGGTTTGGAACCTTCTATTACGCTGCTATGAAGTGAGTCATGTGGGGTTCTCAGTTTGTTGAAATTATTTGAATTCAACTTTTGTAAATTCTAGAATGTATTTATCTGCAAAATTAACAAATCATGGTATAAATGTCATACTGATTTAACAAAGCACAGTTTTTTGACAGCTAATGAAAATGTTTCCCTGTGTTTCGCCTCCCCTCAGAGGTGTGAATGTAGTGCCCTTCCTGGAGATTATCGGTCTACCAGAGACAATAGTTTGCCTTTTAAGAGACTCTACAAGTGGATATGCTCTGACTGCATATGCCATGTACAAGGTAATTTATCCTGGCATCCTCTGGGTTTGTATTGAAATGAATTTTAAACATCTGTACTTATTGATCAGCATTAAAACACTGTGTTAAGGTGAACAAGCAAACACATTTCCTGACCTTCCAGCTTGTATTAGCATATGTCTCATTTCCTCAGTCAGTGAGATTGTAAAAAGAATATACATTATATCCAGCAAGTGATTTTTTTTATTTGTCTTTATTCTTCACAGATTGCAACCCCTGCTAGATATACAATGACTCTTGGTGGCACGTCACTATCTGTTCAGTATCTCCGCAAGCATGGCTATTTAACCACACCACCGCCAGTTAAAGACTACATCCAGGACAAAATGGAGGAGACAAAGGACAAACTGTCGGAAAAAATGGAGGAGACAAAAGAGAGATTTTCTGAGAAAATGGAGGAAACAAAAGAGCGTTTCTCTGAGAAAATGGAAGAGACCAAGGACAAGTTTTCTGAGAAACTGCAGGAAACCAAAGACAGAGTTTCGGACAGAAAAACGTTTTTTAGAAAGAAAAACGATTAGTGTTTCCCATATACAGATTGCACCTTTTTAAATATATTATCAATTTTTGATTTCAACAGTAATCAGTGAGTTTAGGGCAAGTAACAGAAGGCATTAATGACTGCTCGGAGAGAGGAGAGAGACTTGTACTATCCTGTCCTTACATTTCGCCTCACACATCTCAGTTATCAGCTGGTGTCTCTTCAGATGTCCTATTCAGTCCCTAGCAATCCAGACTCTGGGCCCTGAGTCTGGAATGCAGACTCCCTGCAGAGCTACATTCTGGATCAGTCCTCTCAGAATGGATTCGCTCAGGTGATCTGCAATGTAAAACAAAGATAAGCTAAGTTCTCTTTAAATAAATTCAGGAAGACAAAAAGAGCTCTGTGCTTACATTGAACAAAAATAACAGTCTTGTCAGTGTAAACAGAATTCAAAATGAAAGATCATTGCTAATAGCTCTGTTTGGAAAATACAAATAATGCAGGCTCATGATTACTTGTGTGTACTAGTTCATCAAAGCCTTCCTGGTGTCTTTTTCTAATGTAATTAGAAAGAAATTACGTTTTTCTAATGTATTTTTATCCCATAGTCCTAGCTAATATATTATATAATTTAGGTGTCTGTCACTTCAAGTGTCGACTGAAAGTTGTGTATGAACTGAGAGCCGCTCCTCCAAAAGAAAAGGTCACGGCACATGTCATATCTGTCATACATGTCCACATGCAGTGGGAACAGCAGCACACTGTAAGACGTGGGCAGAGGTGTTGTCCGTGTGCCATGAGATGTCTTGGGTACGTCTGTATTAATGCATACATGTTCTTGTCAGCAGTTCAAACTAAAGTCTGGTTAAAATCACAACTGAATAAAGTGAAATGAAAATCATCAAAGTTTGTACGTTGCAATTTCTAGGTTGTGTGTCTTAGCAACTAGCACAATTAAAACTTCTTCTCTGCCAAGAAATGTGGCAACTGTTTGGTTCAGTGTGGCTACCTCACAGTGCTCCCTTTTAGTTTCGCATCCCCGGGCTTTTCTTTTGGCTCTTCCGTCAGTCGTCAAGTGTATTTTCCATCTGTAGCAGGGGGCCGTTGAACAAATCCGCCCAGCAGCAAACAGCTGACAGTTAGCTATTAGCTGGTGCACACAGTGGAGCATTTAGCAGCTAAAGACCAAGTCATTTTACTGGAGACTTTGAGACCAGAACTAAAGAGAGTGGATGTTCCACTGTGACATAATGCAGTATGACATGTGTTTTTTTGTTGTTTAAATGCTACCTCTTGAGTGCTCAAAACAACTGACTGCAGCTTGGCACTACTAACAACCACTGAAATGCGTAGTGCATGGACCGAGAAAGACAAACAAATCAACGTAACTGTAATATTACAGATCAACAACACAGATATACGATTCTCATTTATTCATTTAATTTATATAATTAAATCAATTTTTTGCTTGTTTTTTCTGAGTGTTCCAGGGTATTCTCTGAATACCATAAAGGCTACTCATTTCTCTAACTCCCCTCCTCGACTCCTATCCTCGTGTCTTAGTCACGCCCACAGGAGATGCGAGCGGAGGAATCGAGGAGAGAGGAGTGGAAGCAGCAGGCGGTTAGAGAAATGAGAACTCCTCTCTGAGCGGTCATTTTAAAGAGACGTCCATTAATGATGACAGGAGGCACAGCAGCACTCCGGCCGTTTCTCGGGGTGTTTCTCAATCTCGAGTAAAGCTGCTCCAGAGCCACTGGGTGTTTCTCAATCTCGAGTACGCTTGCTTGCTTGCCACAGATTTGGGGAAATTTGTTTGCGCAAAGCATTGTGGGGATTTTAAGACCACGGAGTCTACACATGTGCAGCCTCAAAATTTCTCCAAACGAAGTAAGCCGGGCTTGGTAGAATTGGAACAGTCCTTCGGCGGCACTCGATGACGTAGTATGCTTGAAATAGTGGTTCTGGAGCACAATGCTTTGCACACGGACCAATTTCCCCAAATCTGTGGCGGAAAATGTATGGCGGGGCCTCTCATATGACGCACACTTGCTCGCCTGTTCAACTCTTCGTTTTCCGAATGCCAGGAAGTATTCTTGCCTCGCTTCTGAAGCAAGACGCTCGGAAGACATGTGCTACCAAGCAAGCGTACTCGACATTGAGAAACACCCTCAATGTCGAGTAAACCTGCTGCAGAGCCACTGGGTGTTTCTCAATGTATTCAGGTTATACCACTCACGGTCCAGGCCCATAGAGCAAAGCGCTCTGGGTGTGGGTGAAAAATCGTCCCCCCCGCCTGAGACAGTATGTCCCTGCGTAGCGGGAGCTGCCACGGCTGCCCGCACAGCAGCTGATATATCTCTGCCAGCCAGTACATTGCAGGCCAGTGTGGGGCTATTAGGATCAGTGTGTGGCGTTGTTCTCTCACTCTGGCCAGAGTTGGGGGTATCAGAGCCAGGGGTGGGAACGCGTACAGAAGGACCGGGGGCCAAACGTGCGCGAGCGCGTCCACGCCTAACGGTGCGTTCAAATCGCGCATTGAAAAGAACAGCTGACATTGAGCGTTTTCTTTTGATGCGAACAGATCCACCGCGGCCCGGCCGTAACGCACCCACAGCTGACTCACAATTATTGGATGTAGAGTCCAGTCTGCATATAGTGGTGCACCTCTGGACAGCAGATCTGCCCCGAGGTTCATCACTCCTGGTACGTGCGTCGCTCTCAGAGAGAGGAGACGTCCGCAGCTCCATAAGATCAGTTTGCGTGCCAGCATGTGTAACTGGAGAGAACGCAAACCCCCTTGGCGGTTTATATACGATATTGTGGTCGTGTTGTCTGTCCTCACGAGGACATGATGTCCTCTGAGAAAAGGCAGAAAGCGTTTCAGGGTGAGGAACACCGCTAAAAGCTCCAGATAATTTATGTGTGACCGTTGGAGGTCTCTGCTCCAGAGACCCCTCACAGGTCGACCTTCGTATATACCCCCCCAGCCCGTCAGACATGCGTCTGTGGTGACCACCTTCCGCGATAGGACAGCACCCATAGGCACGCCCCGTACTAGAAAAGTCGGGTGCAGCCAGTGGCGCA